GAAGTGTTAGAATGCTCAAAACCCATCAACAACGACATAATGAATGGTCGTAATAACGGAATGACGTTTGGCACCCGCAGACCTGCAGGTCTGGCTGTAGCTAGCAGCAAGGTGTAGGATTGTCAATCCAGTATAGATCTATACACAAACTCATGCTCTCCCTCCAAGAAAATTCTGGCTACAACTCGAGCCATGACATTTAAGTGATGCTCCGATTTAAATCACAATAATTAATGTATTCATGTATATGTTATGTTTCTCGTTCTAGTATAGTTGTATATGTATTGTTTCTAGCATAGTTGTATATGTATTGTTTCTAGTATAGTTGTATATGTATTGTTTCTAGTCTAGCTGTATATGTATCGTTTCTAGTATAGTTGTATATGTATCGTTTCTAGTATAGTTGTATATGTATTGTTTCTAGTATAGTTGTATATGTATTGTATTACCCCGATGGTAACTAGCTATTGATGTACTGATAAATATGAATATGGAAGTACTTTTATGTCTATACATATATATATGATATATAACTAATATGGAAACGACCCTCGGATGGTCACCCGAAATCCCACCAGACCACATCTTAGTGCGCGAAAAGGAAATAGGGCGGATGGGCTTCCTAAGCCCTTTAAACATTACTTATATATCTATAAATATATGGGCATGCAATTTATAAGAAGTAAAACAAAGTTTTAATAAAAGCATTTGATAAGTAAAAGAGTTTGTAAAACATTTTGAAGTAAAGCAGTTTGATAAATAGTTTGAACAATGATAAAATCATTGGTTTCCTAGTTATTAATCACATGTGATTAATGCAATCACATGTGATTGATGCAATAACTAATAGTATTTAACTTGTATCCCCCCCATAAAGTATTTAAAACATTTAAAACATTTCAAAGGTTGATTAAAGGGGTATGAACTCACTTGTGGTCAGTAGATTGGATTGATGTATCGGGTACCGTGCTAGGTGGCAAACGGAGACTTGTTCACACGTTCGAGCCTAGTTATCATATAATGAGCATATATATAACTAATTATCCAAATAATAACTTAACAACGTAAGTTAAGACACTTAGGAACATGTAAACACTTTATATAAGTGTTATAGGTCCTAATGGTTGCATCTAAGTTGATACGGGACAAGGGAAAAGGGGTTTAATGCACCAATGACCTTGTATATGAGTTCACCACCCAACAAACCCCACCCTTTGGAGTTTACGGCTATGAACCCATGAGTTTACGGCCGTGAACTCCTCACTTGGTGGTTTTGGGTGTTTTGAAGTGTTATCTTGATCCTAGAATAAGTCTAGCCTTGTTGGAATAATCCTTGAAGTAGTTTAAGGCCTTGGAATGCTCCTTTGGGGATTTTACGGCCAAAGGACCATATCCCCTAGAGTTTACGGCCGTAAACTCCTATGGGGTGTTGGTTTTAATTCATTTGAGGCCCTTGCACATGTAGCATAGCTTCTATGCTTTTATCTAAGGCTATAGGGGACATTAGGCACACTTTTGTGTCATTACTTGGAGTTTACGACCCAAGATATGTTCCTTGGCCGTAAACTCCCTTTAAGGGGTGATTTTGATGTCTTTTGTTCCCCATTCAAGTCCCAAGTAGTCAAGGTTAATTGTCTTAAGGCTTTAAGGGTGTTTAGGGCATCTTTAACACTTGAAAAAGGGGTTTACGGCCCAAGATCCTTCCTTGGCCGTAAAATCCTAAAACCTTTTGATTTTGAAGTGTTTTGGTGTCCAAATTAAGCACAAGCATTAGAGGGTAAAGTCCTTAAGCTTTAGGGGATGATTTAGGGCACTTATAGCCCTTAAAAAGGGGTTTACGGCCCAAGAGAGTTCCTTGGCCGTAAACTCCTATAACTAGGGTTTCTTTGTTGATTTCTAGTCTCAAATGTTTATACATTAACCCCTAAACAAGTTGTCTAACAAGGAATCAGGACTAGGAAGCCTTTAGGCTCCGTTTTGGAGTTTACATCCCAAGAACGTTCTTGGGCCGTAAGCTCCCGGATCTTGTATTTTGGACATGTAAACAATGTTATAAAGCATATAACAAACATTAAAACTCATTTAGGAAAGTAGACTCACAATCCGGGATGAAAGCCCGAAGATCCATCAGAGAGAAATGGCTTTTCTCTAGTTGGAATTGGGAATAATGAATTAATTAAATTCAGAAATCTATTTATAGTCCTGAAATATTTTGACAGAAAATATTTTTATTCCAGAAGTTGGACTATAACATTATGAAACTTGGAATGTGATGCGTGTATGGGCTTGATTTAGTGAGTAGGGTAGTGTTTAGGTAAATTAAGAGAGAATAGCAACCACAAATGATATGTGAATGGAAAGAAATAGATAGATTAGTATAGTAACAACTCAAGACCTATTAAGTTGTATACCGATGAAAACAATCCAAGACCTATTGGATTGAGTTCGTATCAAGTCAAGAACACGTCCCAACAAGATAATTTGAGAATTATAACAATAATTCAAGGTGAAAATAATGGTTCTTTGATTAAAATTCGTGCATTACTTTTTTCATGCATAATTTGGCTTTATATGAAGCCTTTATTACAAATTTGGTGGTTACAAGCCAACCAACCAATTATTCATTAAAACTAGTAAATAGAAATTAAGGTAACTCTTGAAAGAACACAAAAAAAACGTCCATGAGACTTGTGAATGAAAAAAAACGGCTATGCTTGCTTAAGGAGCCATAAGAAGCATTAAGGAGTCATTATAAGCATTAAAGTGTAACCCTAATCCACCAAAGAGTGTCAAAAACGGCTAGGAGGCTTTATGAAGCAAATAGTAACGTTTTTAGCACTTATGAAGCCTTAAAAATGTTGCCCTAATCTTCATGCAACCTTAATTGAATTTGTGGGTTACCATGCACAACCCAACCATTGAGCCCAAACCACCTTCTAGCCCACTAGTAATCACTAATCCATCACATTTTGGGCTTTCATGATCCATGCATGGATCATCCCTTCCCCCTTTGAAAGGAATTGACCTCAATTCATCAAGTCCATCATCATCAGGATAAGGTGAAAGATCTCCCACATTAAAGGTAGCATGCACTCCATGGTCTCCTCCCAAATCTACCTTATAAGCATTATCATTGACACGTGACACCACTCTGTAAGGACCTTCAGCTCTTGGCATCAACTTGTTTTTTCTTTTGTTAGGAAAACGTTCTTTCCTCATATACACCCACACCAAGTCACCATCTTGAAAGACACGTGGTTTCCTATGCTTGTTTGACTTATGTTTGTACATCTCATTCACAGCTTCAATCTTCTCACGAACTTGTTGGTGTAGTTTCATCATGGCCTTCAACTTGTCATTAGCATCCTTGTGAACCAATTCATCCTTTGGTAATGGAATCAAATCCAAAGGCATGTAAGGATTCACACCATACACCACCTCAAAAGGAGAGTGACCTGTAGCATAAGTAGGAGAACGATTATAGGCAAATTCAGCATGTGCAAGTTTGATGTCCCAATCTTTTTGAGTTTTGCTAACCAACCCTCTCAACAAAGCACCCAAAGTTCTATTAGTAACCTCCGTTTGCCCATCCGTTTGTGGATGATGGGATGTACTAAAAAGTAACTTAGTACCCACTTTCCTCCATAAAGTGTTCCAAAAGTAACTTAGAAATTTGGAATCCCTATCAGAAACAATTGTTTTAGGAATACCATGCAAACGAACCACCTCTTTAAAATACAAATCAGCCACATTAGATGCATCATTGGTTTTATGACATGGCACAAAGTGAGCCATTTTTGAAAACCTATCCACCACCACCATAATGGAATCCTTCCCCCTTTGAGTTCTAGGCAAAGCCATAATGAAATCCATGGACATATCTTCCCAAGGACAAATAGGAACCGGCAAAGGAGTGTAAACACCATGCTTGAAAGTTGTTTTCGCCATATGACATGTAACACACTTGCCCACTATGTTGGTTACATTCCCCAACATCTTCGGCCAAAAGAAATGTTCTTTAAGCACCTGCAAAGTTTTGGTAATGCCAAAATGACCAGCCAAACCACCGCCATGAGCTTCACGAATCAACAACTCCCGTATTGCATGTTTTGGGACACAAAGGCGATTTCCTTTGAATAGAAAGCCATCTTGAATCACAAATTCACCATTAGGACCACCTGCACATTTCAAAAACATATCTCCAAAGTCCATATCATATTGATAATGGTCCTTTAGAGTTTCAAATCCCAAGAAACGAACATCCAAAGTCACCAATAATGAGTAACGCCTCGAGAGTGCATCAGCCACCACATTGCTTTTGCCATCCTTGTATTTGCATGAAAAATGAAAGGATTGCAAGAACTCCACCCACTTTGCATGTCTTGTGCTCAACTTTTGTTGCCCATTGATGTACTTCAAGGATTCATGATCAGAATGCAAAATAAAATGATTTGCACGCAAATAATGACTCCAATGATCTAAAGCACGAACAATAGCATAAAACTCCTTATCATAAGTGCAATAATTCAAACGAGCACCACCCAACTTTTCAGAAAAATAAGCAATAGGACGTTTGGATTGGATCAAAACAGCCCCAATACCAACTCCACTTGCATCACACTCCACTTCAAATGGCTGAGAAAAATCTGGAAGAGCTAAAATAGGAGCATCACACAATAATGCCTTGAGTTTCTCAAATGCCTTTTGAGCTTCTTCTCCCCATGCAAAGACTCCTTTCTTCAAACAACCTGTCATGGGACTTGCATCTTCAGATTTTCTCTTAGAAAGATGGTTTGTAAAAAGATGGATACCATCCTTCTTCTTTCGTTCCCAACAAACTTCACGCCATCGGTCTTGGTGTTTTTGAACAATGAATGAAGAATTAATGAAAATATGTTTTGTTTGTGGACAACATAGAAAATGGGCATAAGAATTGCCACGCAATGCCTCTTTTGGTGACTGATTGATACCACCATGAACACATATTTTTTTGGAAATCATCATAATGTCTTTTGAAGGGTACAAAATTCTGCCATCATCCAAAAATAATTGGTCGTGCTGTTTTTGAGCCACGAATGAAAAGTCTCCATCTCTAATTGCACAAAACTTTTTATCAAAAGTAATACACAAGTCTTTTTTCTCCTTTTGATCAATGAACGAAGACAAAACAAAAACATCATTATTAAGATCATAATTAGTAAAATCAAACCTCTCACCAAGGCCTTCAAAATGCAAAATATAAGCATTCCATGGCCTCCAAAGTGTAAAAATCTCCCACACTTTGAAACGAAAATGAAGATGAAAAACGAATAAACCTTCTTGATCAATGAAGCTTCCAATTTGGATTTCTTTAAGATCTTTAGAAAAGAAATTATGTTCATAAAAGATATGAGAACTTGAATTTTTGTGACACTTATAGTCATTTGTTCTCGTGGTTGTAAGCTCTTGGAATGAAATTTGTTGTTCAACAAAAATCACAATTTCTTCAACAATTCTGTCCATATCAACAAAATTGATTTCTTCCACAATTGCTTCAACAAATTCATCTCCGATCACGGAATTAGTTTCTTCTTCAATTTCTTCAATAAATTCCTCTTCAACCAAGAAATTTATTCTTTCACAAAATTCCCCTTCTCCATCGGTGTCGTAGATGGGACCGGAATCTTCTTCCTCCTCTTCTTCAAATTTATCTTCCTTTATTTGTTCTTCATCATATAATTTGCGCAACATTTTTGGACAATAACTTCTGAACAACTTAAATAAAAAAATAGCAAGAATTTTTCTTGAAGAAGAACTCAGTTACACCCAATCGGAACTAGGCTTTGATACCACTTATGATGCGTGTATGGGCTTGATTTAGTGAGTAGGGTAGTGTTTAGGTAAATTAAGAGAGAATAGCAACCACAAATGATATGTGAATGGAAAGAAATAGATAGATTAGTATAGTAACAACTCAAGACCTATTAAGTTGTATACCGATGAAAACAATCCAAGACCTATTGGATTGAGTTCGTATCAAGTCAAGAACACGTCCCAACAAGATAATTTGAGAATTATAACAATAATTCAAGGTGAAAATAATGGTTCTTTGATTAAAATTCGTGCATTACTTTTTTCATGCATAATTTGGCTTTATATGAAGCCTTTATTACAAATTTGGTGGTTACAAGCCAACCAACCAATTATTCATTAAAACTAGTAAATAGAAATTAAGGTAACTCTTGAAAGAACACAAAAAAAACGTCCATGAGACTTGTGAATGAAAAAAAAAACGGCTATGCTTGCTTAAGGAGCCATAAGAAGCATTAAGGAGTCATTATAAGCATTAAAGTGTAACCCTAATCCACCAAAGAGTGTCAAAAACGGCTAGGAGGCTTTATGAAGCAAATAGTAACGTTTTTAGCACTTATGAAGCCTTAAAAATGTTGCCCTAATCTTCATGCAACCTTAATTGAATTTGTGGGTTACCATGCACAACCCAACCATTGAGCCCAAACCACCTTCTAGCCCACTAGTAATCACTAATCCATCACATTTTGGGCTTTCATGATCCATGCATGGATCAGAATGTTCAAGTTTCACAAATACAGGAGCATCCACTCTCCTGATATATCCAGAAACGTAAACCCTGATGTACACAAACTTGTTCGGAAAAGTCTGAAAATTACTTAAATTGGACTAGCTTCTATTGAATAGATAATGTTCGTACAAGTGGAAATTTCGGGTTGTCACAGAAAGCTTACGACACTTAGATTTTATAGTGTATGAGTTCCTATCCATGTGAATTTGTCAAAACCATAATCACAAGATAAGGTTAGTGACAAATTCAGCCTTGCATGGATTAAACATGTTCAATCTTAGTTTCTTGTCACCTTGGTAGCACAAGGCCCACCAATGCTTCCAAGTTGAACTCTGATAACTCACATGCAAATTCAACTTATTTGAAGTAGGTATAGAAATAAGAATTATGTCAACACGATAGGTTACAAACCTTAAGTCGTATGCTAGTGATAAATTACAGGTTATACTCTTGATTAAATCTTGAAACTCCTTCAGGATCTTTAAGGCTCCCACTGTCCCCTTGACATATAAGTTTCCCCACTCAAGAAACATTCCTTGACAAAACAAATATTCAAAGGATAGTGCGGATTTTTATCAAGACTAACACTTCACACAATTGGTCTTACTTGGCCTTTGTCTCATCCAAGACATCACAACTTACCAATCTCAAATGTACAAGAGTAGAAAACATTTTACTCTTACATTTGACTAGTGTTAATAAATCTTCCTTTATGTCACTCAAGGTTACAATCTTGGAGTATGACTCTAAGAATTGTTTTGGAACGAAGTATGACTCATCTTCTTGATTTTAACCAATCCAACAATTCATGACCTCTCTTCTTAGCCATAACAATGCACTAAGACGTCCTTAGAGTATGAATTTGTGATATGGTTTCATAATCATTAAGATGATCATGAAATATGATACTAAAGTACTCTCCCATCCTTTTAGATTTCTGAAACTTTTAGCTTTCTGCCTAAGTTGATTCTTCTCATTTGTTTTGTCATACATTGTATCCTTTCCAATGTTACAAAATTATACTTAACCTTATAAGTATAATCATATTTACTAATCTTTAGTAAATCATGACAAATCAATCTTTGTGGTGGACCTTGACCAGCGCACACCCAGTGTACCTAATTCCTTAGTCCTTCAATTGAGTCACATATATATGTGATCAAAGGATTAGTCTTAATTTTCAAAGATGAAAATTCTCATTCATCATACAATACAACTTGTATGATTCCAAGTTTCTGTCCAATTGAAACTTGGGTGATGAAAAACTTTCTTCATTTGGTAAATTCAGATACTACCACAAATGAAAGAATCAAATCCACTTTCCAATATTGCTATTACTGGAAACATATAAGCAACAATTTTCCACAGATGCCATTGTAAGGATATTTTTAAAATAAATAAAATTAAAACCCCTTTTTTATTTTAAAACTTTGCGGAAAAACCTATCCTTACAATCCATATGAAAACCTTGTTATTATCTTTTCCTAAGTAATATATCATAACTTTCCAATATGTGATTGAAACCCATCTTCGCAATCAGAATCAGCATATACTTATTTAAGCTTCCTATCTTTTCTTTGATTCTTAAAAACATCAACATGTGACCCATTCACATTATGTAATAAGAATCTCCAAATAGAAACTTAATAGAGTTAGTCAGTGGACTTTAACTGAAGTAGAGTCAAACTTTTTGACTTGATCAATCTTATGATCTTTCAGGTAAATATCCCAGCTTCGCAATCAGTGTCCCTCCCTTTGGCAATAAAACATATAGACCCTTTGGTAATGGAACATGAGACTATCTCAGACTTAGCCTTTCTCTTTACCATTTGGTCAACCGAGTTGAGTATGGTCGATCCCTTTCCATTGGGAAGAGAAATGCTTTTTTAGATATGCAATGCTACCATTGTCAATTTCCATTTAAGACTTAAGAAGTTGTTCTTTTAATCAAATTTGCTTTACTGGTGTTCCAAATAATTGTTGATTCCACAACACCAAGCAAATAGATAACATCATTAAGGGTCATGTCATTGTCTGTCTCATAGTAGTCCCAAAGAGACTCACTATGTTACTAAGAAAGTGATTGAACATCCAACTTTCATGAGACTTTGACACCCAACTCTCCCGGCTTGTCAATACGTGACTTCATCACCAAGATGTGATCACATATAGATCTTGCTTGCCAACAGGGCTTGAGTGACCTTAAACTTGTGGGTTTGGGAGAATAAATGGAGGAGGTGGAGGAAGTGAAGCATGATGTTGAGGGACACCATCTTCAAGAGATTTGGGAAGATCATAGTTATCTGAACTAGACATCTATAATGGGAGAAAATCAAGTTAGTTGATTCAAAGTTCTTAATATAACACCCAATATGAAATATTAAGGCTAGGACCCAACACAATATTTTATAATTTGGAAGAGGGATGCCGTAATCCAAGCTATAAAATCTTTGAAGGTAGGCGAATGACGATTCACCAATTTCCACCATGAAAAACAAAATAATTTATTAGGTTTTAATTGGATTTGAAATTCCTAGATCTTTTGATATTCATTGAACTTTTCAATGGCATGTTTGAATCTCGAGTGTGCCCTCTCAAATTTCGTGACTGGGATGCCGAGGATCACAAAACAAGGTGTGAATAACCATACCAATTCACTTGGTACCCTTAATATTATCACCTAATCAATGTTCCGGTTAACCACACACGCTCCATTGATCTATGACAAAGATTAAGTCACCCTTCGTGATCCTTACTAGTCCAAGTTAGTGTGCCGGTTAACCACACACGCTCCACCAACGACTTGGTAAGGTACAAAGTGTGAATTTCATGGGCTAGCACCAAATTCACATTTTTCCTAAAGTAACTAAGATTGGGAATTAAATAAAACATTTAGTTACTTTATAATATTCATCATACTTTTAATGGGAATTTAAAGTCATTGTCCTACCCGTTCGGCTAACGACCCTCCACCGATCAAGCAAGCGGTGGGTGAGAGTAGACACCCATTAAGTTGCCATTTTATAGGCAACAACCTTATACCCACCTTATAGACCGGCTTCGTGAATGAGGCCTACTAACGGTAAAACGACTTGTTCTTATACATATATATATATATATATATATATATATATATATATATATATATATATATATATATAATAATAATAATAATAATAATAATAATAATAATAATTAACCATTAATCTTATAATAGTATAAGGGTAGAATTTTAACTTTTAAAACTTCTAGGGTATGGAATTAAAGTTTGTGTGAGACTTTACAAATTCCAAAACTTGAGGGCAAGTTTTGAACAATTCAAAAACTTTTGGATATTCATAACTTATGAGTTTTAATTAAGTGTTTAACACTTTTAATGAAGAGTCTCTTGGAATCCATAACTTGAGGACAAGTTATGAAGTCCATAAAAGCATTTATTAGAAAAACTCTTCAAAAGTGTAACTTATGACTCCTTAAAAAAACATTTAAAAGAAAAAACTTTTGGAATTCCATAACTTTAGGACAAATTATGAATTCCATTAAAACACATTAAGATCAAGAATTAACTAACAAACAATTTGCAAATAATTCCTATGATCTAACAAAACTTATATGAACATGAACATCCACATCAACAATTTCAAGAATCATATGAACACATATAAACTTGAAATTTTGATTATAACTTTGAAATTGGTCCACCATCATCATTACCACATCAAAAACAGGTTTTATGAGTCCAAAATAGTTTAAGGTAATGATTCTAGACCAATTCCAACACCAAAACTCGAAAATCTGCACTCAGGCCTGCCAACTCGTCGAGTGCATGAACGGACTCGGCGAGTTGGTTGAATCTACACATGGACTCGGAGAGTACCATGAATGGACTCGGCGAGTCTGCTATGCAGAATGCAGTTTTTCGACATTTTTCCAGCAATTTGCATCAAGTATTCAAGAAAACAAGCCTAGGTTTTGATACCACTGTTGGGTTTTGAGCAATCTAACACTTCCTAAGTGTGCATGCAACCCTAATAAACCTTGGATCTATGTTTTCTTCTAAAATACATGCAAATAATAACTTCCAAGGTGTCTTCCTAACTAGCATAGGATAAGGATTATGAATCATAAAAGTACTAGTAGAAATACATAC